CCCGAGCAAGTTTAATTTACCTGGCAACGCAAGCTAGCTGAAATATGATTGGTTAAAAACTCTACCATAATAAATAAGTTATTTATCGAGTGGCTTTCAATGTTATTTAAAATAACAGCCACTCAACTAAGTGGAAATAATACAACGTAAAGAATACAGAGGATAATTTTGTTTCCATATTTATGAAAATAAAATAACATAAATTATAAAATAACATAAAATACATAAAAGTAAATTTACTTTTCTGAGAATGTTTAGGCCAGCAGAGAAGGCCTTGCTGGCCCTCAGGGTCCGCCACTGGTAATTTGCTATGAATTGACGACATATTAATTGCCTCAAAAAATGAGTCAGACTCCAGAAAAGACACAATAGTTCTATTGATGCATTTCGCTCATGGAGGTACAAACAGCTGATAGACAATTTAGAGTCAAATACACATGCCACAAGACAGGGAACACAAGGCCGGTTCTCACTTCCGAAACCAAAAATACATTCTTTTTATCACTATTATTTTGTGCAATGGAAAGGATTGTTCCCCCCCCCCCCCCCCCGCCACACACACACACACACACACACACACACACAATTTTGCTGATGTAGACTGCAAATTTCCCCAGTGTGGGACAAATAAAGGTTATCTTATCTTATCTTATCTTATTCAAAAGTCAAATCAAGAAACATCTGGGAAAGAGACTGTAGGATGTTCAAGGAAATTTTTAATGTTGTGTATAAAATGTTAATCATGGATTATAGGGTTTAATACCTGCTTTTTTCCCAATTGTATTTACTTTTTTTTTAAATGTACACTGTTTGTGTATTTTCTTTCTAAATGAATGTTTTTAAATTGATGTACTGTTGTTTGTACGCAGTGGATGAAGATATGTATTGGTGATCAAAAATAAGTGCCCCTTCCTGCTTTCTTCTCATCCCTCTAGGTCCATTTTCTGATGGCATTAGCTGCTAACTGGGGATACCTGAAGGATGCCAGTCGGATGCAGAAATATGAGGATATCAAGTCCAAGGAGGAGCAGGAGCTGCATGACATCCACTCTACACGTTCCAAAGAACGCCTCAATGCCTACACATAAACACATGTGATGGGAAACAATGCATTCACTTACCAAACAGACACACAAAACAATTTATTCGCATACAAAAACTTGCAGCACACAGTCATGCATACAAGGATAGCATAACATATTACACAACACACATCAGTCAAGAAAAATACAGACCTGTGGTAGGCAGCAAAATTGATGAAGGAAAAACATTGAACTCCTCCGTGTGCTTCCAGTTGATCTTGTGCCTTGGTGATCAATGCTAACGTGCTAAACATCAGTCACATTAAGTGAAAGTTAATCATAACGATAAGAGGTGACTTCATAAATTCCAATGGGGACGTTAGATTATCTTAATATTTGGTGGCTTATAATGAAATCAGACCGTCTGCACTTCGCTCACAGAGTGGAAATACAAAATATTTTATGAAAAAAAACCCCAACTCCTTTGCTGTTTGAGGGTAAAAGTATTTATGACTGTGCATAACAGTAAACAGTCTTGAATTGAAGAAAAAAATAACCAGGTCATTAAAATGCTTCACAAAGCAGACTGCGTATAACAACTTCAAAGAACAGAATATATGAAAAAAAAATAAAAAATACAGGAGTCCCAGTATGTGAAAACCTTTCCTTTGCGGGCCCTAGTAGTAGACTGCCAGTAAAAGTGATCTACTACAGCATGTAGTGTTGTCCTGAAATCCACACCAACCGAGACCAAGACATTATTGAGACCCGAGAAAATCAAGACCAAGACTTTCAGAGGTTGAGACTGGATATATCAAAGAAAAATCACAAAAAAATCCCCCAATACAAAATAACAAGTATCTTTTTTTCATTACGTTTACAACAAAAACAAATTCTGTTTTATGTTGTTTTTGACATCCAGGGGGTGTGGCACTGGGAAGGCAACGCATCCCCTGTGTTCTGCGTTTCTCACTGATCACAATAGTAATTGCCTGGTCTTGACTGGTCTTGATAAAAAAAATCTAGAGACCGAGTCAAGATCTAGTAAAATTGCCTTTGATTCCAGGATGAGACCAAGACCCTCAATAAGTGGTCTCAAGACAGGTATACCAATACCGATCGCAAGCACTACAACACTACAAGTATGAATGTGCAGTGCCTGCCAATTTTACTAGACCACCTCTCATAAAAGTGAGAAGATGCCATGGAGCATCATAAAATGCTTATAATGTGCAAAGTAGAGTGTCGAATCTATCAATTTTATTGAGCTCTCGACAGGCCGGATGGGCTTGTTTGAGAAGTCAAAAATTAATCAACAATAATATTCAACCATTGAAACAAGTAAAAAGCTATCATTTGACATTATCAATTTATAACTTATTAAAATGTTTTAGTTTTGTTTTGGATTTTTTAAAACTTTTTTGTAAGATATTAAAAAGTGAAAATTCAGGGATAACTGAAATTACAGATTTGCATTAAAAAAATATACATTTTTGTAAGGGCTTCATCATATTGCTGTGTTGATGGTTAAAAATCTGTATTTTAAAAAGTTAGCATAAAGGTACTTGATACTTGATAAATCCTACAACTGGGTGGTGGTCTAATAGAAATGTTAATCACTGTACATGAACTAAATAAAAATAAGAAAAGATCATCACAAATCTCTGCTGCTAGCATGACACTCGAAAGCAACAGTCAGCCGAAGACACACGGAAGACTTTGGTGTATGTAACCTCATCTTTTCATGGAGGGTGGCTAATATCAAGATACCACCATCAAAAACCTTAATACCTACAATACACAGATCTCTCACACACACACACACACACACACACACACACACACACACACACACACACACACACACACACACACACACACAATTAATGTGGCTGAATGGTCAGTGTTGTGCAGGCAGTGTTATATGGTGGTGTCATGCTGTGCTGTCATTTACCCACATCATGACGACTGAAATATGGTTTACGGGGAAGTTTGATGTATAAATGGGTAGGTTGACTCACTGAAACCCTGACCAAATAATTTCCCGACTCTCATCCGGAGCCCAGTTTCATCAGTTGTTTCCTAGAAAATACTCACATCCCATTACAGTAAATACAAGTACAAACCACAAATGGCAGGCTGCGGCTTTTTTTTTTTTAAATCAACAATCTTATATTTAACCCTTTCAGTGACAGCAGTTACTACAGTGGACAGCCTAGCTTGTGATCGGGTTACAGGTTATCATTATTGATGCATGAAAGGGTTAATAGTTAGTCAATGATATGAATCCAAACATATATTGTCCACTTAAACTAGAAACATATGCTAGTAAGTTGATCGTAGATGTGTTTAGTATTACTGTATTTATACTCTATACATACAGTCTGACTCACTCGGTTCACAATTAGCACTTATGCCAGCTGATCATTTGAAACAACTGTGAAATTGGACTCTTTCCCCTTCCTCTCTGACAATGTTTGTGTCAACTTGTGATTTATACTCCAGAAACAGCACATCTTAGCAGCACAAAGTCTTTGAAAATGTCATGTCAGTGTCATATTGTCTTCAAGTCTGTTAAGACGACATTTTTTTCACTTTTTCAAATGTTTGCCACATTTTTACCAGCATTGTTCATGTGTAATTTTAATATTGGGGTACATGCAAAGGGAATTGGTGTCGTGGGATGGGGGTGGGCGTTGATATCACATTCACGTTTTCATGGGAATCTGCACATACAACTACACAAAAACAAAAACATATACACGTGTCAACACCAGTCATTGTGATACTTTTATTGTATGGTTTTTGCTCTCATGTTCAGTAATTTGTGTCTGTGTATTAGGCTACAATTATACCAAAATTGCTCTTTTGTCATGAAATGGATTTCCGATCGTCACTAGAACAGGCAACACGTCATTAGTATCAAGAAGAGATAACTGGGAAAGGGATCTCGGCTGATTAATAGTGGCTTTATTGTGGCTTTCTAAGTAAGGCTGAGCATGTTTTGTTTTTCCAGTCCTAACTGGATCTTTTCAGAAGAGTAGGACTCACATCTTTTGAGCGCCTTTACGGGACATGTGGTAGAGAGGCATCACAGCAGACACAGGAGAGGGAACCTCTTGTTAGCTTTAACAGCAATCATTTTCTTTGATTTCGGGGCTCATTTTCTTGAGCATGCCACATTAACCTTTGATGGATTAAGAGCCACAATGCAGCTTTATTCTAATCACAAGGCATGTTTTGTTCGTATTAAGTGGGAATCTAATTCGTAAAATGATTGTATAATTCTAATAAGCTCGGAGGGAATGTGAGTCTCTATCTGCCAATAGAGATGGTCGAAAGAGTAATAATAGCTATATTGTTGAGATGAGGACGATTGATTAATTAATAGATTGATGATGAGGCAACCAGCAGAGAAACACACACACACACACACACAGGCGCACACACAGACACACTCACACACACACACACACACACACACACACACACACACACACACACACACATTCGCACACACAGACACAAAGTCCACTATTGCCATCACTCTGAGCCATAACTCTGCTCTTTTACTGTTCACAGTAACATTTCACTATTTTATTAAGAACTTTGAATCCTATTTTTGTCAAATCATAATTACAGAAGGGTGTCAAGAAAAAGGGGAATTCATGTGATTTTTTTTTCTAAGCGGTAATATGCACTGCACCTTCATATATTCTGTATAAAGATAAACATATATGTGAAACACTTGGGGAGAGCAGCCGAGATGATTATTTCTAACAAAGTCTGAAGGGTGAAGTTGAGTCTCATTGTCCAACATCTCACTATTGGAGCGGCATTTACACACACAGATGCACAAAAAATACAGATGAAAGATAAAATAACGTAAAATTTATCTAAGCAGCCGCTAAAACAAATGCGGTTAACGTTTTGACATGTTATGCTTTGGCAAAAAAAATGAAAAGACCACGTTAACACAAATTGAAGTAAATAGGGTGTGACGTTTTAGACATTGGAATTGACATTGAATGGAAAATGAACACAAGGTCAGATACAATGTGTCTCCCCAACATTGAAGAGCTTTGAAGAGATCAAACGTTGTCATGTCGAAAAACATTGTGGTATGATTGAACATATTGCTATCTAAGTTCAAACAATTTGGAAGAAACAAGGTGTGTTGACGGTGTGTAAATGCAACTTGGATGAGGAACAACAGGCGACCTTCACCAGACTGCAACTGTGTTCTGGTGTGAAAACAGTCAGTATTTTTAAGGGTCTAGTTTTGCATTAACTGTATACATTTCATATCATTTCATTGCCTGACAATGGATGTCTTGTCAGTGTTTTTAACCTCAGATACAAAAAAAAATGTTTTGTGCACTTATTGACCATTGTGAACTCTATCTCTTATTCTTGGTGTGTGTGTGTGTGCATTGACGTCCCCTTTGTGGGACCATGTGTATAGTCTTGCAGCATTGGTATAACATGAAGACGTAACAATGATAAAAATGAATAATTCATAAAAATGAAGAAAATCTTATTCATTAAAAAAAAAAAGACAGTGAATCTAGTCGTTGTTTGTGGCATGGTTATGCATTCAATGGTCATAATTTTAAGAATAAAACAGTACAAAAAAAATTTATTTCAACTAGCGCTGTTCTGCTATTTTTTGTTTTGTTTTTCACTTTTTAGCTTGCAGTATTGAAGTCCTAGTTGCTAATGGTGTTGCTAAGCTAGCAAGCTTGTTTAGTTGTTTACCACCAGAGCAATACATTGTACCAGAGCATATATTGTAACAATGAAAGATGAATTCTTAACCTTCAATTTGTGGCATATAAGTGCATGAAAACTGCAAGTCTAAAGTGATATTGATTGTTTTTCAAGAGATTTGCAACTATGATGTAATGTATTGCTCTGGCCGCCCATTATGCCCACCTCAGCTCACATCCTTTTGCCTGTTGCTCTCACATGCAGTCGTTGATGACCAGTTCACTTATGGCAGTCTTGAAAATCACACTGGAGACTTTCTTTGTCTTGCTCCTTGAAACTGTGTTGTCATTAAATCAGCATGTTACCTAGCAACAAGCTCCACAGCTCATGTAGCCAAAGCGACAACATCAACAACATGAGGTAAGAGCAATGAAAATGTAGATCAGATTGAGTCAAAAATGGAGACAAAAGTGCTGTTGGCTGTGAGGACTGGTGCTACCGTGGTTCAAAATGATGTAAAGAACCAATTAGGTATTTTTTCTCGAGCTGGAAATCTTCCTTGTGAATCAAGAATGTCTCGACCGGTGTTAAAAAAGTGGAAGCGGATGTGAGCTGCTTGCTCCACATTTGTTTGAATCTCCCTGTGAAAATGTTTGTACTGCACATGCTAATCCTGCGTCCTACTTGTCTACCCGCTCTCCGGTGCTTAATTGGACTCACACTACCATTCCGCAACCTTGGCTTTTGTTGTGGGTGATTTCAGCATGAAGCAAACCTTCCGAAACATAAAATGTGATTTTGAGCATTCTGTGAGATTTTATTTTTACTTTGACTAGTTTGTCTAGTTGCAATTTTACAGTGTGAGTTCTGCCTCTCAAATTGTCAACTCTGAATTACAGGATGAACAATTTGTTCCTCTATTCTTGATTGACTTCAACTCTACTGTATCATGAACACCATCATAGCGCTAAAAACTGATATGAGTCTGCAACCTTAAAATGATTGTCAGCGATATACACAAACATCAAGGTTGGACATTTTGGACGTCGGGAGATGTTCTTTTTTTTTCTTCGTTTCCATAGTAGACTTTTTGTACTCCACTCTAGTTGCTTAGTAGCAGGCTTTCTTTGATTCACTCCCCCATTTTTGTACATATGTGTGTGCCAGCAGCTTGGGCAGACAGTGGCTTTTTTTATTTGTAAAGACATCAACTTGCTTGCAAATATAAATAAAATGAAATATTACACCTGTGTACTCGTTGATAAGGAAACTATTGAGTTTGTGTCTTAATTTCATGAAACAAATGTGACACCTGCTTCAAAATGATGTGGATACTGACGAATAAGAATTCCAAACATGTACAAATACAATAGTGGCACAGCTACTAATGCTATTGCCATCATAGCCATGAGAATGGGCTGAAAATTCAATCAGCAAACTAATTGGGCGGCTCATTCAGTCAATGTGACCCATCTGTCCAATAAATACCGGTTGAAACAAACACCTGTTTTAAATGTACACTTAGCCATTCATCCAACGTTTTCAGGTTCTTCCCTTAAACTTATACTTACAGGTTATGGCATTACAATGTGGGATACCCTTCAGTCCTTGGTGTTAAGTGTAACACTGATATTGGAGTTATAGAGCTGAATGTTCACAGGGGGCTGAGCTGCATGGATAGGTGCCAAATGTGTTCTTATTATGCCTGACCGCATCCATTGTAGGTCATCAAATATATGGGGTGAGTAAGCATTGGGGATGAAATGGTTCTCGAAATTCTAATTTCTGCTAAATGGCAGCATAGTGGGCGACTGGTTGGCTCGTTCGCCTCACAGTGCAGACGTACAGGGTTTGATTACGGCTCCGGCTTTCCTGTGTGGAGTTTGCACGTTCTCCCGGAGCCTATGTGGGTTTTCTCCGGATACTCTGGTTTCCTCCCACATTCCATGAACATGCGTGGCAGGTTAATGCAGCACTCAAAATTGTCCCTAGGTGTCAGTGTGAGCGCAGATGGTTGTTGGTCTACGTGTGCCCTGCAATTGGCTGACAACCAGTTCAGGGTGTGCCCGAAGACAGCTGGGATAGGCTCCAGCATGCCCTGCGACCCTTGTGAGGATAAAAGCGGTTCAGAAAACGGATGGACATTTGAGACAAAGATTACAACAGTACACATATTTACTTAAATCTTTAATTATAAAACTTTATACAGTAATTAACCTTCATCAACATCGCTTTCTGAGAGAGGAGAAGAGGCTTGTGTTGGTGGCATAAAAGGCGGCTCTCACTTGCCCTTCGGCTTTTGGTTCACCCGAGACTCTTCTGCTGGAAGTGCTGATGGTGTAGCTGAGGTTTTTAAATTGGAGAAAAGCATGGTGGTGGTGGGTATGGCATTCATCTTGTCTTGTTATTAGTTTGAATAAGTTTAAGGTTTCTTTTTTATCAGACAATGCTCTTTTTTTCGTGAAGAAAAAAACTCTTACCAATCTTAGCGTTTCGGCTGTCACCTCAATCTTCATCTGAGCTGTCACTGCTTCCCTGTGACGTGTCTAAAAAAAAACAGCTGACCGGGTTGGGAAACCTTCAAAATAAGGCTACCTGAAATGGTCAAGCCTGCAAACCAGCCCTCTCACCGTCGCCTTTGAAGCAATGTGTCCCTGTTAATGTTGCCATCTTCGTGGAGGGATGAGCGCATTGCTTCGGTGAAGCACAGCTTAACTAATTTTTAAAAATATATTTCGCGAACACAACACGAAGATACAGTATGCGAGGCCAACAGTGAGACACAACAAGTGAAAATTATGGGTGAGGATGTGATGATGAGCAGCCAATCAGCTCACGGGATGAATCCAGATGTGCTTTCATTGGTCGATGTCGCGCCGGAAACAATCACGCACCTTGTATGAGTGAGCATGTACAGTTAGAGTCCAGGCATGTACAAAGCCTCTGATCACGTCAGCTCTTTGTTTGGCATGCAAGGAAACCTTCTCGCTCACGCATCGACATGAAACAACGCATTTTTCCGCAATTTGGATGCTGATATGGCTGCATTTTTAAAAAAATGTGTTTATTTTTGAACCCCCCCCCCACACAAAACACTGAAGCCGCAAAACTTGAAGCGTGAAGTAAATAACCCTGCCTTGCCTTATACAATACATGTTTATGCATACTGTATAGCGCTTTCACAACAGCTGCAGCTGTAACATAGCACTTTAAAGAACGGTTAATATTAAGTAAGAAAATAATATAACAGAACACGTAAAATAAAACATGGACAAGAATACAACCGGAACAACTAGTCCTGCATACGCCTTGTTGTTTGAAGCAGTTCCAGATGAAAGAGAGAATCAACGTCTCCTTTCACCAGTGGATCAGAGACGTCATGCTCAACGCGTGCATGACATCCCACATGTCTATGCAGCTATGCAAATAACATTTACACAAAGACTGTCCTTGTAAAATGTACTTCGAATTTCTGAGAGAAAAAAACTACTACAGGTCAATATCACTCCCAATTTTTCAAATCATGCATGACCGTTAGGTACCAAGTTTCCCTGCCTTATTATTTTTCTTTCATGAAGAGATTGTACCAAAATGTTTGTCCAATTGTGTCAAGATAATAAACATATTTTTGAAAAGGTTTCATCTGAAGGATCTTTTTTTTTTTTTTTGTATGCATGCACAGTATGGAGCGGCCCGGTGTTGAGTGGTTAGCGCATCAACCTCACAGTGCAGAGGTACTGGGTTTGCATAGCTGACCGATTAGTTGATTTAAAAAAAAACAGTCACTCAAGGCGTCGGTGCTATTCCGGTGCACCTTTGAGGCCAGCGTAACGACAAGTCTTGAACGCAAACAACACGACAATGGCTTCTTAGTATTTTCTGTTTATTAAAAGATAAAGTATACAAAAAAGGTTCTCTTCAGTTTGTCTAATTCGTTTGTATGCCTAATTGTTCGTTTGTCTGTATGTATGTATGTTTGTATGTATGTATGTATGTATGTATGTATGTATGTATGTATGTATGTATGTATGTATGTATGTATGTATGTATGTTTGTCTGTATGGTCAAAAAACTGTATTGCTTCATGCGTGAGCTGGCCACATCTCTCTCTCTGCCTGACTCCTTCTTCACACTGTCTTCATTCGCCAGTCGCGTGACGCCACAACAAATAGTTCTGTCAAACAAATATTCTACCATGCATAAAATAATAATGACAATTATTTCTACAAAGCTATAAAATATGCCAATTGAACGATACAACACGACAAATGGAACAAACAAAATCCGACCAGTATCAAATTGGCACCTACACAAGGTAAGGCTTTAAGATAACCTCTTAGTTGGCAGCCGTCTTCAAAAGCTCAGCTTTTTTTTGTTTTTGTTGTTTTTGTCTTTTGTTTTGTCACATTTGTTTTATATTGAGAGGGAAAAAATTTCATCTGTGCTGTATGGTACAGCACATTTGACAATAAAGCTGTATTCAATTCAATTCAATTCAGTATGGTGTTTGCTGTCCTTCATGTGGACCCTTTGTGGACTATTTTCAGCGTTTTGGCCACGGCATTTGTAGAAGGAGAAGAATCTGTCTGATGTTGCACTGATTTTGATGAGGGGAATGTCGGCGCGGGCGGCACGGTGATCGATTGGTTAGTATGTTGGCCTCACAGTGCAGAGGTGTAGGGTTCGATTCCGGTCTTCCTGTGTGGAGTGTGCATGTTCTCCCCGTGCCTGCGTGGGTTTTCTCTGGGTACTCCGGTTTCCTCTCACATTCCAAAAACATGCATGGCAAGCTGATTGAGCACTTTAAATCAGGGGTGTCAAACTTATTTTTGTCACGGGCCACATTGGAGTTACGTCGTCCCTCGGAGGGCCATAAAGACAGTGTAAACGAATAAATGTTTAATCAACACATCATATTATTACTTGTACACAAAAAAATGATGGCTCACTAGTTTGGAAATCAGTCAGGTATTTGTTCAATTAAGATAAGATAAGATAAGATATCCTTTATTTGTCCCACACTGGGGAAATTTACAGTCTACAGCAGCAAGATTGTGGGTAGAAAGAAGAAAGAAGAAAAACAAAGTGTTTGCATTCACGAAATAATGTTACAGTTTCAATGTACACCGTTCAATTAAGTGCAATATAAGGTGATAAGGTGATAAGGTTATTGCTCAAATGAGTAAAAACAGGGCAACAAAACGATTGCAAAATGTCCCCGTTATTTCTTATGGATGACAATTTGAGATTTCGGTGCAGGTTTAAGCTAAAAAAAAGTTTTTTTTTAAATATACATGGAGTACAATACTGTATATGTTGTTCTATGACTCGCTGTTGTTTTGCAGCTTCTCGCGGATCGTTTGCGGGCTTAAAAAAAAAAAAATTTTTTTTTTTTACCTCT